CTCTGTGTAGATTTACTCAACATGCTAAATTTTCCATCAGTGGCCTAAACAGTATTATAATGTAATATATGTATGACAGTTAATTTGTCACACAGTTTTTGCATTGCACTCTGCCAAAATCAAACTAAAATGAGACATAATCAACATAAACTCAGTCTTAGTGTAGTGAATAGAGAGGTAATCAACAATATACATACATTTTTCAATGTAGATTTTCAATATGTGTTTGTTAAAATTGGAATGAACTCCTTGCAAAGAAAATTGTCCATGTTACTTTCCATTTTATGACACAGCTTAGATTTCTCCTGATAGTCAATTAAAATGAGTGCAATTACCTTGGATTTATTAGTTTGTTATCTTTTACACTTGGGAGTTTGTGCCAAGGAATGACGAACTGAAGTCCATCTATCAGTAATAATCTTGGATCATTTGAATCCCAGAGGATGTCTAGACATTTCGTCAAGGTCAATTGTCAGGAAAATGTTTAAAGCTTTTTATTTATTGCTTGTTGTCTGATTAAATATAAATCGGTATTTGTGTGTCTAAGTTTACTGTTCCTTTGCAAAGAACAAATAGAAGAGATTCCACAAAATGTTGAGTTTGATTTTCTTTAAGGAAGCAACATTTGCTCGCAGAGTGAGCTATTGCCTCCAGTCACCTCCCCGGCTCAGCATTGTGCTCTGGGCTGCCGTGCGTGAAGGGTGCTATATTAATGCAAGTTGCGTGTGTATTGGGTATTATTTCCAATTTCCGATTGGATGTGAACAGGAAACTGCACTTCTGTGAACTCTGGTTTGATTATTCTGTGTTTCAGGAGGCTGCAAGTCAACTTTTTATAAAATGGTTATAAAGCAGTAGGATACATAGTGGAGTGAGGATGGTATTGTATTCATTATATGAATGAAAACTTCAATCAACAGCTCATGTGCCTCCTATGGAGTTGCTGTTTTTCAGAGATGTCTGTGAACCAAACCACTATAATGCATTCAAACCACTAAATATTTGCATTTTTCATATTCACAGACAGTTCACTTCTTCTTTCTCAAAACTCCAACCTTTCTTCCTTGCATGGGAACCAGATGGTATTCCTTAACCTGCGCATTGTAAAATAGCAAGTGAGTACAATCTTGTGGGGAATAAATCATTTAAGTACCTTAATAAGAACTGATTTTTTTAAAGCTAAGTTTTAACCGGCTGCTGTGCCATAGCAAATACAGTAAATCCTCAGCAGAGGCTAAAGTTGATAAAATATACACACAGACAGTCCATGAACACATGTAAAGAGATCAAATATGCAGATACCATTGATGTTGCCCAGATGTTCTGTAAGGAGATTGTCTTGCCACAACCACAACCATTTAATCATGTTGATGCTGCCTGAAAGGAATGACGCCAAGGCTCCAAAAACGAGTCGAGTAATTGAAAATATTTTTAATATGAGGTCTTTAAAAATTGAATTCATTTGCAAATTTGCAACTGATAGCATTAACCCATAGGTATACTCTAAGGATTGTTTTACAATACAATTGCACTTATAAATTGCCTTTCATGTCAGGAGGACGTCCCAAAGTGCTTGACAATTCTGGCTGGACACGGGTTTCTTCTCATTCAGCTCCTGTTAACCCTCAAGCCAAAGCCCTAACTTGATCTTAATGTACAGGCAGTGGGAAAGCTTGCTAGACAGTGCTTCCAATGGCATGCTATGTGGTTTCAGCTGGTTAAACTCCTTAATGCACACTGTGGGGTCCTCAAGGCTTGGCTTTTCACAGTCTGTGCCTAATACTCTGTGGAATTAGGTAAGCAGGATGTATTCCCCCCCTCCTGAGAGAGAATGTGCGTTCCATTCCAATACACAAAAATTTCCATGTTTAGGTGGGAAGCATGGAACTGGCAATTTGTTTTGGGATACTCTTAACCATGTTGTTGGATTTCTGCATTTGTCAGACACCCTGCTGACCAACATTCTGTGAATTTGAAATGTTTGTACTATGGCCAGCCATATCATAAAAGACTTGCCTGAAGTTTCATGACTACCTCCAGAATAATGGTGGCCGCCACTTTGAAGCAGTTCTTTTGGGGACTGCCTCAACTTGTCTGTTTCATATTTGTTTCCTCATTTTCATCACGTCTTTCTGTTCCAAATAAGAGTTAATGTACTCCAGACATGTTCCTGAGGCCAAAAATCGGGTTGTGGTCATTATTGTCCATATAGTAGACAATTCCAGAGCTTCATTCAGATTGACTGTTCTATTGCCATTTAATTCAAACCCTTCCAAAGCCCACCATTTACATGCCAGAATTGAGTGGCATTAGCATTTCCATGTAAAAATGTTCACTTTAACTTAGAATCCTTGAAACTCTTTCAGGGTATATGCACTGGAATTTAGACTGCAGTTTGTAAATTTATTTGGCCAGACAAGGGATTCTGAGACAAATCAAATGTTATTTTATAGTCTGTAGAAACATTGAATCTAACCCTTGATGGATTACTATTTAAATAAAAATATTGGAAAAACATGCAACTTGTTTTCTGCCCACCATGATTTTCTGGAGCCATTTAAGTATACAATCTGAAGTATTTCAAGTTAAGACTGGGCTAGTGCCTTTGAAGTGAACCAGAGTATGGCACTGCAGTATGATGAGAAAGAGAATGTGCCTCTGATGTTATACATTGTTGATTTTCAGGACATGAGCATACAATTTTGAGAAAGTGCCACACAGAGGCTAGTCATTTCCTCAAAGGGCAAGATAATGTCATTTAAGTCATCATTATTCTGCTATGATATACATACTAGCAATTCATTTATCATTGCTTTGCGGGTTCCTGGAAGTAGATTGCCCTCCTGTCCAGTTATCTAAGTGCAACAAAGAATGATATCAGCATAGTAGGATATGCCAATATCAAAAGAGTTGTCCAGGTCTGGTAGGAATTGAATGGGCTTCTAGGTGATCTCAGGCTGGGAGATCACGTTCATGCTTATCAGACTTATTTTATAAATGCTTAGGAAAAGATTTTCTTCTTTCTGTGACACTTTTCTATTCTGTGAATTTTTCTATTCATGAATCTAGGTTTGTTGAAAACACAAATAAAATTATCAACCGTTGAAAATATAGAAAATAAGTTTCGTCCAATTGGAATGTTAAGAGCTGTTTACAAGTGTACATAATTCTCTCCTTATTGTATTTAAGATTATGGACAATTCTATATAATGTATCCTCTTTACATTTTCAGAAGTCTTATTACAAATTTTCTGAACTCAACAACAACACAATTACATTTATAGAGCGCCTTTCACGTCGGGAGGACTTCCCAAAGTGTTGGACAGTCAGGGGTCAGGACCCGAGCATAGGGGAGGGGTGGGGTAAAGGTGGGGTAGGGGTGAGGGGTGGGCTGGGGGGAGGGGTGGGGTAGGGGGAGGGGTGGTGTGGTGTGGGGGTGAGGGAAGGTAGAGAGATGGGAGGGAGACCAAAGGCACAATCAAAGAGGAAGGTCTTGAGACCGGGCCTGAAGGAGGCAAGGGAGGAAGCGAGATGAAGGGACTGTGGGATGAAGTTCCAGAGTGTGGGGGCAGAGAGGCTGAAAGCCCGGCCACTGATGGTAGGGCGGGTCGGGCAGGAGATGCGGAGCAGGCCAGAGCCCTCTGAATGGAGGAAGTCAGCAGGTCAGAGAGGTAGGAGGGGGCAAGACCATGGATGAGCATCTTGAACTCGATCTTCTGGGGGATGGGGAGCCAGTGGAGTCGGGCGAGGGTGGGAGTGATGGGGTCACGGAGCCTGGTGCGCGAGAGTGCACGAGCTGCAGAGTTTTGGATGATCTGCAGCTTGTGAAGGGAAGAGTTAGGAAGGCCATGAGGAGGGAATTTCCGTAATCGAGCCTTGATGTGAACTCGAGTAAGATCTTTCAAGAGAAAACCGTTGGCACACACACACACCACACACACACACATACAGATACACACATACAAAATTCAAATTGTGCATCATGTATCAAATTTTTCAAGTCGTTCAAGAGTTTCTGTTATTCTCTTATTAAAATATTGAGGCTGAGTTGCAAAATTGAATGATACATGACATGAACCTGGAAATTATAGACCAATTGGCATACCATCTGCATGAGGGAGGAAAATGTTTCAGAGCATTATCCAGGATGCGATCAATACTGATCTAAAAAGCATGGAAACCATAAAGAATAATCAACAAGAATTTAGAGGGGCATGTGTTACTAATTTGCTGAGATCTTTGAAGAGGTAATTAAACTAGTGGATAAAGGGATATCTAATGGGTTTAATCAGTTGATAAAGTTCCACATGTGAGAATTTTCATCAAGATTAAAATTCATGGAATTATTGTCAGATTATTTGGCCTAGATTAAAGGATGTCTTGGACAATAAGACGCAGAAGGTAATGCTATAATGAATGCCAATAAAGCTCTAGATAGTGTAATTCTACACTATTAAACTGTAATGGTTCCTATAATAAAATAATAATACTTTTAATGCATCACCTTTCTTATCAGGATGATGTCTTGAAGCGCTTCCCAGAATTTACTGTAATGTGTAGTGACCGTGTATTTAGTTGACAAACGCAGCAGCCAATTCACGTACAGCAATGAACCACAGAAAACCATGAAGTAAATGACCAATTTTATTTGGGTATTGATGGATTTTGGTGGGAGGATGGAGCCCTGAATTGATTTTAGTTTGCGTCAATACACCTGGAAGCCCATCCACCAGCACAGGGTCTGTATGAAATCGCTTCAGAACAATGGACAGCTCCTCTTTTGGTCAAACAAAATTACATTTGTAAGGCGCTTTTCACGTGGGGAGGACGTCCCAACATATATATATATGTCCATTATTAATCATTGCTCTGATGCTGAATCATCAAACTTTCTAACTTTTAGGTTATCCATGGAGAAGTAAACAGGTGATTATTGTTTTAAAATTGTTTTTTTCTGTAGAGTTTGAATTTTATTTCTGAAACTTTGTTTCTTTCAACAGAACACAAAGTAGAAGTAGACAGCAAACCAATTCTCAGCAACTTCTGGGCACATCACGAACTGTAAAACACGTATCAAATAGGAATGGACTTCTGTTGTCTAATGCATTACCTAATGCCAATACCCAAACACAAAGTAACAACCGCTTTACCGCAAATGGACAAAGGTCAACCAACTATCATAATGCACAAGCACGAGGTAAGTATGTTGTCATACCATTTGCCTTTATAATAGATGTGTATTGATTCTACCTATTAACATGATTCCATTATATAATTTTTTATATTGCCTCATTGACCAACTCTTAATTGGTAGAATTAAACCAGGAAGATTATAAAATTAGATTTGAGAATGCACACATTGACATTGGGGGTGTAAAAAGGAACAAAGTGGAAATCTTAACTTTTGCAACAAATCTCGGACCTTAAAAGGTAAGAAAGCAAAATACCAGCCATTAAACATTTTAAAGATTATTGCTGACATATAAACGTTGCTGAACATCTTATAAAGCCTTCTTTAGAAATATGAAAACCCAAGGAAAACAAATGGTTAACAAACCAATGTAACCTCATAATTCATTACATTTTCAGCTTATTGTTTATACAGCTTTTCAGCAGTGAACAAGGTTACTACCATTGGCCTTTCTAGATTTTTTTTATTGTAAACAAAGGCTGACACTGGTATGTGCATTGTAGGAACTGCACAGGAATGGCTGAAAGTAGTCAAAGAGGAAGGTCTTTGGAGGAGGCAAAGAAAGGGATGAGTCAAAGGGACTCCGGGATGGAATTCCAGAAGGTGGTGGTAGATATACTGAAAGCCTGACCGATGATGTTGGTTTGCATCTGCCCAAACCTCTCCAGCGCCTCCTCCATACAACTATGTTTCATGTTAGACATTATGTACTGCTGATAGTGAATTTAGTTATGAGGGCATCATAATTCAAAATGCCGTTATCTTATCCTGAAGCCTGGTCGTCTTTAAATGAGTAGAGTGAGTTGCGATTTGAGGCTCGCTATCAACCAGCACTAAATCAATATTACAAATGTAACTTATGCTGTTGTTGCAATGTCTGGATCAAAGCTGTTTTGCTGCTGGCAGTGCAGTGATTCAGAGCAGAAAACTGGGTTTATGCTGTCTGTTCCACATCATTGTACATTGGGCTGGAAACAAAACATCCAGTTTTGCCATTCTGAACATGCCTTCCAGCGTGCACAGGAGGTCAGAATTGGGTCTGTCTTTCAAAATTAGTAAGGATTGTGTCACATGATCAATTCTTTAATGATATTAAAAATGCTCCTTTTAAAGTTTCAAAAGAAAACTGCAGAGTGAACCTCGGAGAATTGGCAGAGTGGATCCACCTGATCCAGAGGCCATCAGGAGCATGGAGCCAAACTGATTTGTGTTGTAAGAACTGTACATTTGTGAATACTGTATATTTGACCATTACTCAGTGTAGAAACAGGATGAGAGATTGTGATCAAAAATAGAAAGCCCGAAAGCTCTCGGGGGGACACTACCCTGCGTGAAGGGCGCTGTATAACTGCAAGTTGCTGCTGTTGTTGAAAGAGAATAGGTACCTGGAAAATATTGTGGAACTAAGAGTTGGGAAGGGTAAGGTCGATTTATTTGTCAGTCTACATTCCACTTGACATCAAATAAATCATAGCAGCTGAGCTGAAACATTCTGAGGGAATTTGTTTTTGTGCCACAGCTTTCTCCTGTGGAACTTGGAATTGCTTCTGAGCCCTTCAGTTAATTCACTCCTATCGTCGTTAATTGAACTTCCTCAGGTAGTGTGATTGTTATCTAGAAATGTTGTCTTTTAGTGCGTTGCCTTTCCTTGTTTTGGTACAAATTGACAGTGTGCCCACTATTACTTAAATTCCACACGCACCTACACCTCTGCCTTATGATAACAACTTGGGAGTCCAGATATAGCTGGATGCTCTCCACACAATCCTTGGTCCTGAGTGATGTTTGTCCGCTACTTTGCTCAATTGTTGTGGCACAAAACATCTTTCCATTTAGTTCCAATTCTCAGGATCCAGAACAATGATGATTTTGAAACTCATACTTGTTTGTTTATTTGCTGAATTCTTTCTTGCAGGAGCAAATCTCACAACCAGTGTTGAAAGAATCAAAATTGTTTTCACACCAACTATTTGCAAACGGAACTGTAAAAACGGGAAATGCTACAATAACTGTAAGAAAGGTAACCCTACCACCCTTTACAGTGAGAATGGATATGGTCCTGTGTCAAAATCTGGATTTCGAATCTGTAAGTAAATTTACCATTGCTTTTTTTAATAAAAATTGCCTATGTGTTTTGTTAATCAAGTTTGTTATTTTTTATATTTTGAAAATTATGAGATATTAGGGAAGGCGTAATACCTGTGACCCACCACATTTTCCAAGGTTTAAATCACGCTGGAACATGACCTGAGTCCTAGAGTCTCTTTAATGTACTTGATTATCAACAGATAAATACTGAAGTACTTTTGTTTGAAATAGCTCATATTAAACCATTTATTTTACTCTCTTAGTTAGTGAACTCAAGAAATTTTTTTACAGAATTGCGTAATGTCCATTTTTTGAAAATGTGACCTCTAACTAGTCAGTGAACATTTCAGAATGTTAGAATCTATTGAGACCATAAATTATAAACATCTAAGTGATATCTGAGGGAACACATTGATATAAAATCAAAATTATCAATAAATAACAAAAGTAAAATCTATTATTTTCAAAATTGTGAATTGTTAAAAATGATCACTATTTTGAGTAATGAATTTAACGGCATTTGTAAAACTAATGAATTATGAATGTGTGTCTGCCTGCATACAATTGTGCTTACCTGTAGTGGAAGTGGTGGGGATGAAAATGGTGTGGTTATCAACATTGTTGAAATGCAGAATAACATAGCTTACAATGAAATAGCTTAAACATTTGCTTGTTGGATAGCAAATGACCAACTAGGGACTGTCCTCTTGGTTGGGAAGTAATTGGGGTCTCCTTGAAGCTGAAGCTGGCTCTAAGGTGATGGAGGGACGTACTTAGCAATGGTATGTCAGAATTTAGTGAATGCTTATTAGTGGCCTTAGTAGCGAGGTGGGATTCTGTATTCCGGGGTACTGCTATTAACAGACCAGCCATCCTGATTTGGAGGGACAGACACTTGTCTCTTGTTACCCTGCAACCCGAAGCCGTAACAGGTCGAGTGGTGCTAGCTGGATAAGCAACAGATAGTGTTGTCAATGGCAAGCTATGTGGTTTTGGTTAGTTATATTTCAGCAGTACCCCAAAGCACACTCTGTGGTCCCCAAACCTTGCCAGACTGAATACTCTCTGGAATTAGGGTAAAGTAGAGAGTTGACGCTCTGATTCAGAATAAAACAAATTGATTGTTATTAAAATACTCAGCTATTTATTATATTCAGCTATAAAAACTATATATTGTTGCAATTTTTATACATTGCTTTACATTTTTATACAAAATTAATTTCAAAATTAAACATCAAGTTGTAATATTTCTGTATTTAGCATACAGGGACCAAGGCAAATAAATAAATATTCAAAGTTTAACGGTTTCTTGATCACCACAATTGTTTAAGTAAAATTGTAGTACTATTAGAAAAGTAAAAACATAATAAATTATAAAAATTGGGAGTAAGATTTTATCATTTTGCAGAGGAACAGATCACTATTACAAACGTAAGGGAATACATATTTGCAGGACCCTATGTGAGGGAAAAACATTCTGGCACAGAGTGTTGTAATGAACGGTGCTTTAGTGCAGACTAAACATTGTGTGAAACTTCCAGAGTTATAAGATGGAGGTTGACATAAATGTCCAATTTGGAATATGGCACCTGCTTGATTTGTATGTTTTTATTGTTAGAGAAATTAAGTCATGATCATGTGTTCCTATTCGTTATGATGTTTTTTTTAAATTAAAAAGATTTTCATGATACATCTGTGCCAAGGTACTTGTTTTATTTTAATTGTGGGGGGAAACAGGGGTACATAAATTCCTCATTTGGCATTCCTACACAGTTTGTGAGCCATTTTTCATTGTTACATCATCTTTTCATTTCCTTGTGTAAATTTATGTTGAAATTCCAAACATTTGGTCTGTTTTGCCAGGTTGTTTTAAGCATTAAAGTGGCAGACAGTAAGAAGTTCATTGTGTCTGAAAGTAAGGGTAATGCAGACAGACTGGTGTTTCTTTTATTGAGAAATTAGATCATGTTAACCCCCAACTTACCAGTACAAAGGGTACATTTCATACTTTACAACCAAGTAATCCTTTGTGGTTTTGGCTTCTGTTATTGAGGACATATACTCACCTTGAAATCTCATTAATAAATAAGACAGGCTTATCAAGCATTAACAGATCTTTGATTAATAATAATAATCCTTACATTTGGCATATTGCCTTTCATGTCAGGAAGATGTCTCAAAGCACTTTGCAGGATATACTGTAAAGTGAAGTGACTGTTTTTGTGGGTGAATATTGTGGATTTGCCTGGCAATCGAAACCCAGGGAGACAATTTACCTCCCCCTCAATCCCTGAAGATTAATTTAGCATGAAAAGTCAACACACATTTGTAGTATATCACTGAAGTTGTAAAGAGTAGGAGAGAAAACAAGTAAAACTTGGATTTTTAATGTCTGTAGATTGTAGAAGGCAGGAAAAATTAATAGAGTTAAGGAGTTCTGAAGTTTGAACTTCCTGGGAATGAATGAGTTTGAATAGGGGACATAAGGGGACAGTCCAGGCACTGGAGACGGTGCAGAGGAGAGCGACAAGAATGAGCTACAATACTAATAATGCTTGCATTTGATATAGCGCCTTATCACGTTGTTGAGATGTGATTGTCAGCGCTTTACAGAATATACTGTAAAGTGGATTGACTGTGTATTGTGTCAGTGAAACGTAGCAGCCCAATTGCGCACAGAGTGACCCACAAACAGTTGTGGGTTGGTTACAATACATATGTTTTTATTTTACTTTTTCAAATTGCAATTAGGATTTCAAACATAAATTCGTGCTAGGGTATATATATTCTGTTCAGCTTGATTTGCTTTATAATCTTACATAGAAGGGCGAAATGCTGTGCAAGTTTCCTTACTCCCCACGCCTGATGATAATCCCTCAAGAAAAAAAAAAAAAATTGGTCACTTCAATCCACGACTGTTTGTGGGGACGCTGCTGTGTGCAATTGGCTGCTGCGTTTCATCCACAAATGTACAGTCAATTCACTTTACGGTCTATTCTGTGAAGTGCTTTGAGTCGTCGAGAAGACGTGAAAAGCGCTATATCAAATGCAAGGATAATTATTACTATGATGTGCAACAAGACACTTGACAGGTATATATAATAATAATAAGATTTCATGCCATGGAAATCTAAATAAAAATCAAAGTGTTCATATGATTTGAAATGTTGCATTTTGTATTAAGTCAGACAAGTATGAACTGGATAGAATAATACTGTACTGTGTATAACTTGGCATAGTTTATTGGAAATAAGACTCAGAAAGCTAATGTTTCAAAATAGATAGTGATTACTTTATGTTGCACCTAACTAGTGTCTACACTTTCTTAGAAATTTGGTTAGCATATTTTAATTTCCAGGTATGCTAGACTTTTCTTGTTGGTCTAGGGAAATCAACACATTATATGAAATGACTGGAATAATTTGTGCTAATCAAAACAATTTGTTCCTGATCTGTGAACTCAATGATCTTGATCTGGGAATACTGAAAGTTTGTTCTAAACATTCCCAGACAAAGATAATTCTTTTGGGATTCCTTTTGGCAGTTCATATAGATTCGTTTTCACTGGAAAACAATGAAAAATACTAATTTATCTCACATAACTAAAAAATGATGATGTACGTTTTCAGCTTTTTTTTCCTGATTTGTTTTTACTATCAATACATAAATACCTTAGTACTGACCTTCCCATTTCTGGTAATGAGTTTCAAACATTCCCAAGTCAATTACTATACAACTAAAAGTACAATAATGATTCCTTTGCCCGAACAGTGTACCTTAGCCTAAAAGTCTGTTGTGCCATGATAACATTTCCATTCCCACACAAACCATTGTGACCAGATTGGCCCAATTTCAGTAAATATAGGTGACTTTCACTGCAATACTGATTCTGTATAACCCTGCAGGTCCTTATACAACTGCCATAACCTCTCTAATGTGCTCCTTGCCTCTTGGACATTTCTCCTCCTTTATGGCCAGGTACACTGCAGCCCTGTTATAACGCACTGCTTTATAGTGCAAATTCAGTTATAGTGCGGTTGCAATCAGTGCACATGCATACACTTGACCTGCTCATTTCCTGCACTCTAGCTTTCATGCTAAATTGGCCTACTTTTGGTCATTGATTGCGCAACATGTTGGAAGTAAAGTCAGCAACAACCAAATAAGGTGGAAGTTGGCTATTTTTAGTGCAGGAACTGACCTAGGTTCAAGAACTGAGCTTCCTTATGAGTAATGAAACCAGCCATTATGTTCTTGTTATAAGGCCGGTTGAGATTTTATGGATTCCAACTACCAAGTTACAGCACTGATTACTCTATTTGTACCTTTTTTGTACATTTATCTTAATTCTTTAAGGAATGTATATTTTAGGGAGAACGAAACATGCAGTTCTAAAAGCGAATAGTACTGTCAAATTGTCTTTCCACTATTAAAAATAAGTTTTATGAGTTCTTGACTGTGCCAATCAATGTGATGCATTGAGACAGTGGGAGACTTTTCAAAGAAGACATTGCTATTTTGTGTAAAAGCATCTGTTTTTCAGCCAACCATAGAGCAGCAATGATAGTTTCCAGTTGTACCTACTGCTGAAATCTAAGCCTACTGGTGGGAAAGAGCTCTTGTAAAAATAACTGAAAGAAGATATCAGTATAAGAATAAAATTAGTAACAGGGATAAAATCTATTAAAGAATAGAGCAATTTCATGAACAACCAAATAAACCACAAACAAGAGGTCAATATAAATTGTTACTGATTTTGGAAAAGTTTTTGAAGTTCAAATAACATCTTGTTCTTGGCCCATAACTACTGCTAGCAAACTGTCAAAAGTAGGAAATAGTTTGTTGAGATAAAGTATAAATCAACTAAATCGTTAGATAGCATTTGCCCACGAGAGAAACTTCTTAATGACTTCCTTGTAATTGCAGATTTTTGCCAGATCCCTTGCCTGAACGGAGGACACTGCATTGGAAGAGACACGTGCTGGTGCCCATCAAACTCCACAGGAAAATTCTGCCACCTTCCTGTTCCTCCAGAAAAGCGCACTGTAACAAAACCAGCACCCGTCAATTCTGCTTCTCAATCGGTGTACACTCTCCCTCTTTCTAACCAGCAAGGTAATATGGTAGTCTCACACAATATTCAACATAATCATTGTTGAAGAAGATGTAGGTCTACATTATGAAATAAACAATGCCTCTGAAGAAAAAATCCACTGTAAAATTTGATAGATTCAGTAAAGTATAAATTGTCAAATCTCACTTCTCAAGATAATTGGTGCGTTGTAACTGTATTGTAAACAGTGAAATCCTGAAATACTTGTCATACAATCATAATATTTTCCAGCCATTCCACTTACTATAAAAGCCATCACTTTAGGCTCACTCCTGCCATTTCCCCATACCCTTATATATATTTTTTCTTTTCCGATAATTATTCAGTTTTTGAAAGCTATTATGGATTCTGCTTCATTTCTCATTTTTTTGTAGAGCATTTTCTGTGTAAACAAAGCTCTCCTAACCTCGCCCTTTGTTTTGTTGGTTAATGATTTTAAATTTATGACTTCTAATTACCAATTCACCAACCAGTGAAAATAGTTTGTCCCTATATACTTTATCAAAACCCCTAATAATGTTGAATACCTCTATCACATTTCCTCTTAACCTTCTCTGTTTTCCTGCAAACAGTACTTTTCCAGGGCTGGTTTATTTAGGATTGCCTCTAAGGATGGTCTTAAGCAGTTTCAGTATACATAAATACTGTAGTAGCTCACCCCGCACACTTAGGGTCCCCAGGCCTTGGCTCTTGCCAACCTGCACCTAATACTTTCTGGAATTAAGTAAGCGGGATGCATCCCTCCAGGGAGAGAGGGAGAGAGAGAGAGAGAGAGAGCACATTCCATTCTAACAATTTATCTCTGGGATTTTCATGCATATGTAGGATGCACAGAATTCTCAGTTTGGTTTGGATACTGTTGATGGTGATGGTTTTCCACACCTGTCAGACACACGGCTGACCCCCACACAAAATCAGTATAACAGGCAAACAGCATATTAGCTTAGGAGAGCAAGTGTCTACTCTTTTTACGGGAGTATAGATAAGAGTACATCATTACTCTTTAAATAAAGGAGAACTCCTGTAGTTTAACCATGTCGTTTTTTTGTAAAGATGTTTACAGAAATGTGATTTTGAAGATTTAAATCCAACCTTCCTTTGTCTGAAAGTGTAATTTATTTATAACCTTGTCTACAGTTGTTATGCTCCCATCCCTGGTTAACATTCATGTAAACCACCCACCGGAGGCCTCGGTGCAGATTCATCAAGTGGCAAGAGTGAAAAACGCTCCTCACTCTTCCGATCAAAACAGTATAGAGAGTTCTCAGGACCAGGAGTCAGTCCGTTCAGTGCAACAAAGATCACAGCCCAATGATGCAGGGAAGGAAAATGGACAGACACGACAACAGTTACAGCCTACAGTTTCCAGTGTTGGAAGGTGCTTCCAGGAAACTGTGGATGGTCAGGTAGGAAAAACCTTTTAGAGTTCATGTAATGAAAAAAGGAAAATAAGGAATGACAAATAGCCAATTCACACCTGAAGATCATGCTCTTCACCTTCAACAGTCATATCTCCTACCCAACAATAATATCACAATACGTTGAATGATGGCTACACATGTGTCAAGGAGAATTGAGGTGAAAGAGTAATAATTATTCAAAGCATTTCTGGTCTGTCTATTTCAGTGTGGAAAACCCTTGCCAGGTCTCACAAAGCAGGATGACTGCTGTGGAAGTGTAGGGATGTCATGGGGATACCATAAATGCACACAGTGCCCTCCAAAACCAGGTAAGCCATCTGGATTTCAACAGCTATATTTTAGTGCTGTGGTATCCATTTTCGTGCCACTAGGAGGATTGGCCGGACTATACGTTGGTTAATCATACCTCTGCTGTATGTAGCTTTATACTCTAATCCTACTCCCCTGTGCTTTCCCCAAATACTTCATGATCATATCATTGTACTGTTAATTGTTTAAATGTACCCATTCCCAGGAAATTGCTTTATGCAAAGATAAAAGTGAGCTTACTTTATGAGACAGTAATATGTGTTGATTTTCTGTTTTCCTGGCCAGTTTGTTCTATCTTGCTGTGACCTCTGCATTCTTTCTATTAACAAAATGGAAAACCGAGTCCTTGTAGTATTTTTATGCAATGACTCACTGATTTAAGAGATGGCATTGATTATATGAGTGGGCCGTAACTTGTGGAAAGGATTCAGAAGTAAATCGATACCATGTGCTTGGGCGTTGGCAGTAGATGCAAGTGTTCCCTTGTCTCACATTATGGAAGCAGCAGAGCTGTTTATAACACATCTAGAAAACATCCTGGTTTGTCAAATAGCTCAGGGCTAAATTCACCATGTAATGTAAACCATTTCAATCAAGAAAGTCCATATCCTTGGTTTGATGTGAGCTAGCTAGCAGATCTCAAACTGGGCAGTGGTGGGGTACCACAATTATCTTCAGTCCAGTTAGGAACAGGAAGAATTGGCTAGTTTGCTCCTCCTGTAAATCTCATAACAGTCCAAAAATGGAGTGTATCTCTCTTATTTTGGGAGAATCTTGTAGCATATTTTTATCTTTTATGTAATGAACAATACTTTTCTTATTTATCTTTTGAGAGATCTTCCCACTTTAGTACTTATTAAACATTCTTTTATTGTTAATAACATATAATGTTTATATTTAAATATAATAAAATTTAATACATTTATATGATATTATCAACATGTACATATTTAATGCATGTGTTAGACACTTAGTTGACAACAAAAATAGCCTGTAGAACTCCCAAATCAATATAATAATAATACGAAGATTCAAAATTGGATTTGCATGAAGAAAAATATGGAGTGAGTCCTAGAGATGATTGCGATGTCAGATCTTCCTCTGCTTTTCCTATTTTGCAAATGTAATTGACGCTATTACATTTATTGTAAGGAAATGATTATGGGGAAGAACATTTTATTATCCAGCTAAACTGATTGCTCCCAAAGCACTTGAATAATCAGGATTTTTGATTGTCTACTCTGACCGTAAGTGATGATACCAGTATATTGTCTTTACACAAAGCCATTTTTAAAATTCCTTCCATACATGAAGCCAGAGGCATTTCAGGCTAACATTATTTTATGAAAGACTTGAAGAACTGGAATAGGAAGATTTTATTCACAGTCGATTTGAAAAGTTGTCCTTTCAGTTCCAATATGTCTGAGGAATGCAAATATACTTAGTACCTTAAACTCTCCTGAATAATGGGTCCATATATTTACTGGAACTATCATTTTGTGTGAATAATACGCTTCTGATTAGTTCCCTCCTCTTCACCCTCTACATGCTCCCCCTGTGGTGACATCATCCGCAGACATGGAGTTAACTTCCACATGTAATAATAATCCTTGCATTTGATATAGCGCTTTTCACGTCAGGAGGACGTCCCAAAGCGCTTCACAGAACACACTGTAAAGTGAATTGACTGTATATTTGTGGGCGAACGCGGCAGCCAATTGCGCACAGCAATGTCCCACAAACAGTCGTAGATTGAAAATGACCAATTTAATTATTGTTTTTGGTTTTGGAGGGATTATTATTTGGCTCTGTGTGGAGTAAGGAAACTTGCCCAAGGTTTCGCCCTCTGCCTGGAATTGAACTCAGGTCTCTCACTTGCAAAGCGAGTGCTCTAACCACTGAGCTACAGGACTCCAATGTATGCGGATGACACCCAACTCATGTGGTGTCCCTCAGGGCTCTGTCCTCGGTCCCCTCCTCTTCACCCTCTATATGCTCCCCCTCGGTGACATCATCCGCAAACATGGGGTTAACTTCCACATGTATGCGGATGACACCCAACTCTACCTTTCCTCCTCTACTCTCAACTCCACGACCACCGATGTCCTGACAGCCTGCCTGTCCGACATCGAGTCCTGGACGAGAGACAACTTTCTTCAGCTCAACGTGCGAAAAACCGAGGCCCTCCTGATTGGCTCACGTCAGCGCCTCCGCACCTCAGGCGCTGACACCATCAGCATCCAAGGCTGCACTCTCCACCTCTCAAAGCCAGTCAGGAACCTCGGCGTTTTGTTCGACCCTGAGCTGTCCTTTCTCCCTCACATCCGCACCACAACTGGCACCGCCTTCCATCACCTCCGGAATATCGCCAGATTACGGCACTACCTCACCCCTCACGCTGCTGAAACCCTGGTTCACGCCTTTGTCACCTCAAGGCTGGACTATGGGAACTCTCTCCTCGCCGGCCTTCCCGGCACCTCCCTCCACAAGCTGCAGGTCATTCAGAACTCTGCAGCTCGTGTACTGTCCCGCACCAGGCTTCGGGACCACATCACTCCCACCCTCGCTCGCCTCCACTGGCTCCCCATCCCCCAGAGGATTGATTTCAAGATCCTCATCCTCACCTACAAGGCCATTCACGGCCTTGCTCCCTCCTACCTCTCCAACCTACTATCCCCCTACCTACCTGCCCGTACCCTCCGTTCCTCTGGCTCCGGTCTGCTCCACGTCCCCCGCCCCAACCGCCCTACTATCGGTGGTCGGGCCTTCAGCCTCTCAGCCCCGAGGCTCTGGAACTCCATCCCCCAGTGCCTTCGCCTTGCTTCCTCCCTTTCCTCCTTCAAGGCCGGTCTCAAAACCTTTCTCTTTGACCGTGCCTTCAGCTCCCCTCTCGACTCTCTTCCTCCTCCTCGCTCCCTCCCTTCCCTCCCCTCACCCTGACCATTTCCCCCTCCTCTCTCCCTCCCTTCCCTCCCCTCACCCTGACCATTTCCCCCCTGCTCGGGTCATGACCCAACTGTGCAGCGCCTTGGGACGTCCTCCTGACGTGAAAGGCGCTCTATAAATGGAATCTTGTTGTTGTTGTTTCCTCCTCTACTCTCAACTCCACGACCACCGATGTCCTGACAGCTGTCTGTCCGACATCGAGTCCTGGACGAGAGACAACTTTCTTCAGCTCAACGTGCGAAAAACCGAGGCCCTCCTGATTGGCTCACGTCAGCGCCTCCGCACCTCAGGCGCTGACACCATCAGCATCCAAGGCTGCACTCTCCACCTCTCAAAGCCAGTCAGGAACCTCGGCGTTTTGTTCGACCCTGAGCTGTCCTTTCTCCCTCACATCCGCACCACAACTGGCACCGCCTTCCATCACCTCCGGAACATCGCCAGATTACGGCACTACCTCACCCCTCACGCTGCTGAAACCCTGGTCCACACCTTTGTCACCTCAAGGCTGGACTATGGGAACTCTCTCCTCGCCGGCCTTCCCGCCACCTCCCTCCACACTGCAGGTCATTCAGAACTCTGCAGCTCGTGTACTGTCCCGCACCAGACACCGCGACCACATCACTTCCACCCTCGCTCGCCTCCACTGGCTCCCCATCCCCCAGAGGATTGATTTCAAGATCCTCATCCTCACCTACAAGGCCATTCACGGCCTTGCTCCCTCCTACCTCTCCAACCTACTATCCCCCTACCTACCTGCCCGTACCCTCCGTTCCTCCGGCTCCGGTCTGCTCCACGTCCCCCGCCCCAATCGCCCTACCATCGGTGGTCGGGCCTTCAGCCTCTCAGCCCCGAGGCTCTGGAACTCTATCCCCCAGTGCCTTCGCCGCTTCCTCCCTCTCCTCCTTCAAGGCCGGTCTCAAGACCTTTCTCTTTGACCGAGCCTTCAGCTCCCCTCTCGACTCTCTTCCCCCCTCTCGCTCCCTCCCATCCCTCCCCTCACCCTGACCATTTCCCCCCTCCTCGCTCCCTCCTCTCCCCTCACCCTGACCATTTCCCCCTTCCTCGCTCCCTCCCTCCCCTCACCCTGACCATTTCCCCCCTCCTCGCTCCCTCCCCTCACCCTGACCATTTCCCCCCTGCTCGGGTCATGACCCAACTGTGCAGCGCCTTGGGACGTCCTCCTGACGTGAAAGGCGCTTTATAAATGGAATCTTGTTGTTGTTGTTGTGACTGCAGTTTCTTCTCATGCATTCCTTCGTATACAGGCTGCCCTTCCTCACGCTGCAGTCTCCTCTTTTCAGAGGTCACTGCAATTTCTCTGCTCACCTGTCTACTGTTCTTAAGCCCAACAGCCCTATTGCGCTGCTAATAATTGCACAGATACCGCCACTCCCACTGAAGTATATTATATTACCCCATATAGTATATTATATGATGATTTAGTGCCAGAGTGGGAAAGTATTCAAACCCCAAGAAACTTACATGAACAAAAAATGGAAAAATAAAATGGATATACCACTGATTTATCAGAAAAATACCACATGGCTACAATATACAGTATCACAATTTATCCTGTAAGTTCCTATTTTTTTAAACACAATATTGGTTGTCTGTTCATTCAGTATTGAATGGGTTTGCATTAAACATGAACTGAATGCTGCTGCTCTCTTGAGCTGAGCACGTTTATTTATTCAGCAGCTCTACAATAAATGTTTACTCTGTTTACAATACTTTAATAAAAAGTTAAGATATTAACTCAAGATATTCTAGCAATATTTTTGTCAGCAGCAGGAATGGAGCACAAATCGAATTAATATTCCAAAGCCAGAATTGTACTTTAATTTTGACATTGAATCATCATTAAAACAGTATAAAATGAACATTAGTTCTTGGACGACACATATTTTGTTGATTTGCTCTTTTGGGGTTCAAGCTGGTGTGGATTGTATTTGAGGGTTTCAACTTCATTAATAATAATTGAGAAACTAGTGGGAAATTCCACCTGTATTTAGATTTACTCTATTTAACATTTCAGAGGGTCCACAATTTGGCA